GGGTGAGCCCCACCTCCTGCCGGCCCCTTCCCCCCCCAGGGGAGGGCGAGGCGGGGCCCTGCGAGCCCAGTGTTCACCGCCCCCCTCCCGGGGGACTCAATCTGACCTCCCAAGCCGCACAGTGGGGCTATCTCCCGTCTCCCTCACGCGCCTCTCACCCCCGTTGGGGTTGCACTACGGGGTGAGCTGGGGGAGCTAGGGGGACCCGGGCCCTCCCTCTCCACCGGGTCCCAGCCCGGGACCCTAAGGGTTTGGGTACTGATCCCTTACCTGGCTGACGGGGTTCCAACCCGCAGTGCATCAGCCCATGGGCGCCAAAAGGGCCCTGTCCCGGGATGCTTCCTAGCTGGCCCCGAGGCCGTGGCCCCTACATCTGAGCCGCTGGTCCTCACCTCCTCGTCCGCCGTGCCGGGGTCTCTGGTCCTCCGCTCCTCCGGAGTCCCGCTCGTCCGGTCCCACCGGGGGGAGGGGCTCGTCGCTTGGACGTCCCTCCTCTGGCCTTGGCTTGCGGTCTCCTTTTAAACCTCCCGCCAGAGGTCACGTGGGGTCTCCCGCCCCCGCCGTCACTGACGTCCCCACATTGGGACGCAGGGGGCGGAGTCGCGGGGCCGCGCACGTCCCGCCCAGTCCACCGGGCGGCCCTATTCCCCGCAGCCGCGGGACTCCGCTCCCTGCCGCGTTCAGCGGGCGCATCTTCCCGGCGGCGCGCCAGTGAGATAGCCCCTCCCGGGCGTTCCGCCGGACCGTGGCCGCTGCCCGCCCCTTTCTAACCGTCACAAACACCATGTTTCCCCAATATGAATTTAAATCAATTGATCCATGACCCATAAACCTGTAATGTAAACAATGTGGGTTATTTGTATCAAGAAATTGTGGATTGCTTTCCAGTGGTTTTATGAAAGGCAGCTGGCATGTTTACATCTACAAACAAAAAACACACTCCAACACTCATGGTAAATAATTTCTGTAGCATCAGAAACTAATGCTGAAAGTTGTTCTTACCTCTTTGGCTTCATTCTGCATTTTCATATTCTCTGCAATATACTTGACACTTTCAATGGCATCTCTTATTTCTGGTGACAAAACTGAAAGTGAAAGTAGAGCATCTACTGATTCATAGCTTGAACTCCTTGTAAGATTGCCACTGAAGTCAGAAAACTTTATTCGTTGATACCGACAACAACTGCATGCTGTATCTTGACATATGAAGCCTTCTTTGCAGCATTTGGTTTCAGAGCTGCTGAAGCAATTTAAGTCTGAGAGCTCAACACTGTAAAGTGGCTTTAGCTTCTGAGTAGTCTCTTCATCACTGGCAGGTCTGGTCATAAACATGATCTTGGGAAGTAAGTTCAAGAAAATGGTCTTCACCCACTCAGGCATTGTGTGTGTTTTGGGTGTTCTATAGTGCACATTGAGTACAAACACAGTAATGACAATGGAAAGAGTTACAAATATCATAGTGAAGAGGAGATATTCTCCAATTAGTGGGATCACCAAAGAGGTAGAAGGGATGGTTTCTGTGATCACTAAGAGAAACACAGTTAAGGACAAAAGGACTGATATGCAGAGTGTAACTTTCTCACCACAGTCTGAAGGCAAGTAGAACACCAAAACTGTTAAGAAAGAAATCAGTAGACAAGGGATAATCATATTGATGGTATAAAATAAAGGCAGGCGCCTAATATAAAGCGAATAGGTGATATCTGGATATAACTCTTCACAACAGTTGTACTTGATGTCATGTTTATATCCAGGCGCTTTAATAATAGCCCATTCTCCACTCTCCCAATAGTCTTTGAGGTTCATTGTAGAGCCAATTAAAACTAAGTCAATTTTAGCTTTATCGTAAGACCAGGAACCAAACTTCATGGTGCAGTTTTGGTAGTCAAAGGGAAAGTAGGTTACATCTATTTTACATGAACTTTTAAAAATAGCTGGAGGTATCCAGGTCACTTCTCCTGTGTATTTCAATAAGGCCTTTGTCTTGTCATCAACTTGGAAATCCCCAACTGCACTGCAAAAATAAACCCAGGGGAAAATAAAAAGTCAGGCAGTTCAACTAATCTGATTACTTTCATATAAGAAGTTAAGAACATAGATATACATATATACAGTGACTCTGGATTCAAGCAGCATAAGTCAGCAAATGCACACTTCAGTGTTCCTGCAGTAATGTTAACTGCTGAATTATATGTGTGGGACTAGATCCATGGTTGGTGTCAATAAGCATAGTTCCATTGACATTTGTGGACATGAGCTGCTGAAGATCGAGATGGTAATTACTCCTATAACATGGCTGAATGGAATCCATGCCCACAAGGCCAGATTAGGAAGGGCTTTTTAGGAGCTGCATCCCAGAGCCCCAGAAAAAGGGTGGGGGCCTGTGAAAAGATCTCTGGGCTTGCAAAAATGCAGATTTTTGCACAGGCCCTCTTAGCCCAGGACCCCTGGCTGCCATTAAAATCCCTGCATTCCAGCCCTAACTGGGGGGGCAGGGAGCAGCTGCTCCATATGCTGCCATCCTGTCCCTGCTGGTCTGGAGCTGTCAGTGCCAGAAAGCTCTATCTGTGCACTTCCCTTGCCTGCAGACTCTGTCCCTGCAGCTCCCATGGGCAGGGAATTGTGGCCAATGGGAGCTGAAGGGAGTGGTGTCTGCTGATGAGTGCAGGGCAGCATGCAGAGCTCCCTATCCCCTCCCTGAGCTTATGCCATCAAAGGGGAACCGCCCCCTTGCCCCAGCCCTGAGCCTCCTCCCTCTCCCTAACTCCTGCCCAAACCTTGTATTTCTTGTCCTGAACCACCTCCAGCATATTAACTCCTGCCCAGAGCCTCCATCCCTACCTCCTGCCATGAGTCCTTTCCCACACCTAACTCTCCCACACCCTCCTGTCCTGAGCTCCCTCCTACACACTTACTCCCTCCCAGACCCTGCACTTCAACCCCCTGCCCAAGCCCTGAGCCCCTTCCCACACATTATCGCCCTGAGACCTCTCCTACACCCACCCCCTCCCTTAACCCACAGCCCTCTCCTCCACTCTGAGAACCTCATTTTTGGCCTCACCTCAGAAGCCAGGAGGCTCACAAAATCTAATATCCCGAGGCCCCCAAAAGATTTCGTATGACCCTGCCTATCTGAAGCAGCAAACAAGAACTCTTGTGTCAAAACAAAGTGATGAACAAATTGATCTTCCTCACTGTGGTCCCCTCTCTTTCCTCTCCAGCCCCACAGTAGCCTGAAGCATTACTTCTTTGTGCAAGCAGCAATTCAAGGCTTCTGCTGCACCTTGTCATTGCAGATACATGGAACAGAGCAGGACCATCGCCCAACCTGGTCACAATCACATAACGTCCTTGGGGCAATTGCAGCTGTTGCTTACATGGAAAAGTAAGATGGGATTTCATTTGTAGCTATTTATGTAATTAGCAAAATGCAGAAGTGAAAGAGCCAGCACCACATGACCAGCCAGCTCTTCATGGGGTGGGGAACCTTAAGTGTGAGGGCTGGATGCAGCCCTTGACTTGCCAGGATCTGGTCCCCAAGGCTCAGCAGCTGCCTACCAGCATTGGGAAGCCTGTGCTGGTGCTTCAGCCCCCCTGCTATGTCCCTGGGGGGTGGAACTCACAACATCTACTAAGAAGGGCTTTGTTGTGTGAGGGGAATGTGGGGAGGGGTTTTCTCTTCAATTGGGAGCATAGTGAGTTTTTTTTTTTTCTATTTCTCATTTGTGTGTGGCCCCCGACTGATTTTTCTGTGGGTCAGTGGCCCCCAACCCAAAAAAGGTTCCCATCCTGATCTACCAGCATGTGCTCTGCAAACCACAGCTTGGGACCTCCTGTATTGGAGAGTATTCCAAGCAAGTTTCACAGAGGCTGGTTTCCTTAAATAGTGTATATCATCTCAGTAGCATTTTTGGTTTCCTATTAACTTGTTGGAAGCAAAAGTTCTAGGAAATTACCGTGCCTGGGGCTTTTAAAGAGTTATATTTAATGCTGTGTTTATGTCAAACAAGTAGCAATTTTTACTGCAAGAATATTTGGATCTAGTGGTCCTGTCAATTAAAGGTCTGAATAACTGAAGAATTTCTCATCTGTAAATGAGAGGAAAGTTATGTAGCAGAATTATGTGCTTCTTCTTACTGCCATCCTTGTACAGAGTGCAGAAAACATTTATAGAAAGAGTGGGGAGAGGAAGGAGCTCAGGGATGCAGAGTCTGATATTTCCTATTTGTCTTCTCTTATTAAAGATAATTGTTAATACTGATTAGCTCAATAGACCACAGAAGTGTTGCTCTTCAAAAGAAGCAGTGATTGGGAAGAGTTCTGCTACCAGAGAAGTAACAGTTTGCAAGACATACCTGTAATAATTGTGTGTTAGGACCTGGGTTTGCTTAAAATCTTAGGTCTTTTGTAGTAGTCATGTGAATGCTCAATCTTTTAAAAACAGAGTAAGAGTAAACAAACTTGATGTAGCATATTCTTACTTGTTATATAAGACAATGTCTGGCTTCCAGATACTGTCGGATGGAACACGAATAAACTCTGCACCTCCATATTCCTCTGGATTCCACTTAAGTTTGTAATCATTCCAGATCTAAACACAGAAGAAACCAAACTACATTAGGATTACAAAAATCAGAAATTGTGGACTATTTAACCCATCCTTTCCATTAAAACAAAGTGCTGTAATGTCACTTTTATAACATTGGTGTTTGTTTTTTCAGAAGCTCTGACTAGATGTATTACCTTTTAAGAACATGTTATTTGTCTTAGGCTAATTTGGGAACCTGTTGTGCCAGGTGCCTTACATGCACAGGAGAGAGCTCCTACCCCAAAGACCATGCATTTTAAATAGACAAGCTGCAGAAAGGGTGACATGGCAAACAGACTCAATTAGGTGAAGTGAATTGTTGCAGAGCTAAGAATACATCTCAGGTCTCCTGATGCCCAGCCCAGAGCCTTTTACACTAGACCAGGCTGCCTCCTCTTCCTCTTAGTTCCCAATTACATTAGAATGTGATCTATTTTCATGCTACGATTTACACTTATATAGGGAAGCAATCTTACAATATCTCTCAAGCAACCAGAGAAATTTCTGAGTTTTCTAATCTAGCTCCCTGCCAGATCCCTCCAGCTCAGGTAGCACAAGAGGGTAGGGCTTGGTTAATGCTTGAATAAGAGATCTCAAAAGAATGTCCAAAATAATATAAGAAACAGTGATGATAATTCAGTAGATAACACTGATCCCCCTGAGATACAATTTGGGTGAAGTATCTTTTATTGGAGCAACTACCATTGATGAGAAAAAAGCTTGAAAGATTATTTACAAAAGCCTCTTCTTCAGGTCTGGAAAACTAAGGCTATGAATACACTGAACTTTTGTCAGTAAAACATTTGTCAATCAGGGTATGTCTACACTGCAGCGTTTTTCCGAAATAACAGGCGTTATTCCATAAAAACAATACTTGCATCCACACTGCAATTGCATTCTTTTGACAAAATGTCGAAAGAATGGAGGGGTTTTTCCAATGATAGTAAACCTTTTTCTACAAGGAAGAACGCCTTTTCCAAAAAAGATTTTTCAGAAAAAGGCGTGTGTGGATGCTGAAGAGGGAATTCTGTTGAAAAAAAGAGGCCTCCAGGAAATAACACAGGTGCTGTGCTGGCCACTCCATCCAAACTCATCACAACTCTATAGTTCCTATCTCCTGCCAGCTCTTAAAGCCACAGGCACCTAGGACAAGGCTTGTGGCACGATGCCCGCCCTGGGAGCTGCACTTTACCACGCAGCTCACACTGCCAAGCTTCTTCTGAGACAAGGCTCAGCCTCAAGGCCCCCGAGAGCCCATTGGCCCTCAAAGGGCACATGCCCAGGGCTCCCAAAGACCCTGGCAGGGGCACCAAAAGGCGTGCACCGTCATGGTCTGGGATGAAGATCCTGGCCCTGGAAGTGTGAGGTGAGGAGGAGACCCTCCAGGATCTCCACTCCAGAAGGTGCAACACCGATATCTATGGCTGGATGGCCAAGGCCCTGGCTGTGAAGGGCCACAATCCCAGGCACCTCAAGCAGATGCAGAGCAAAGTAAAAGAGCTGCAGCAGGGCTACACCAGGACCAGGAAACACAGCACTCATTCTGGGGCGGAACCCCTCTCCTGCCCCTATTTCAATAAGCTTCACTGCATCCTGGGGGGTGGTTCAGCCCCTTCCTCACCCCATTTTTTCGACTCGGGGCTGGAGATGCCCATCATCACCCAGGCAGGGGTCCCAGAGGAGGAGAAGGAGGAGGCCGAGCCGGAGGAGAAGGAAGAAACTGCCAGCATCGTCACCCTAACCATGGGGCCGGTATCCTAGGGCCTGGATGTCTCCCAGGCATCATTTGAGGCTGGGGAGGGATCTTCAGGTGAGTGCTCTTAGTTTTTCCTACGCACAGGGAGGGGCAGGCAGGCGCTGAGGGGCTGGGGTGCAATCATCACTCGGCCTTCCCAGCTTGGCCCTCAAGTTGCAGTCTGTGTACGTGGATGCATGTGGAGTGCCAGTCTGCACCACACAGCCCCACAAGGCATCCCCGGAGCCCCCCGGACTCCTGCTCACAGGCTCTTGAAAGGCCATACACACATCTAACCCCCGGGGGGTTGCCCTGCCACCACCAGCCACTGTTGAGGACAAGGGTGTATGCCTGCTCACACACAGAGGAGTGCCGCACATGGCACACAGGCATGTTTGCCAACTCAAGGTACCACCTGCTCCCCGGGACAGTGCTGTGAGGCACAGATGTTTGTGCAGCCCCTCGGCCACACTAGAATCCCAGTGTGGCCAGACACTTCCCTTGCCTGCTTGTCCATGGGACAAGGGGGAGCGGGAAGTATGGTCCCCTAGGCATCTCTGGGCTCCTGTAAGGCAGGGCCCACAGTCCAGGCCACACACGGCTTTGCTCCTGGGATCTCCCCATCCTCTGGCCCGAGGACTGTAGCTCGCAGCTCAGGGATAGTATCTCCATGGATGATTGACCACCTCTCCCTCTTTATTCTCCACAGCCAGCCCAGCTGTGACTGAGGGGCAATCACCAGCAGACAAGCCAGCTGACTGACCCCGAGGAAGCCACAGGATCCAGAGGGTCCAGGTGGACCTTATGAGGGAGCATGTGGCCATCCTCTGGGACATGCAGCAAACCCTAGCCCAGAAGGTCTGGGATGATGCACAATGGTGGACTGAGCTGGTGCAACAGGACCTCAACATGTGTGCCACCACTTGGGAGCAGAATTTGACCTGTTGACCTACTCCTTTCCCCAACACCGTGCCATACCTGTGTGCAGCTGCTCAAAGGCCCTTCCCTCCTGGCCAGCCTCTGCCCCTCACCCTGGTAGGAGGGCCTCCCTCTTTCTCTCCACAATGTCGTGGACAACACAACAGGCTGAGATCACCTCGGGGATGTTGTGCTCCCCATCATCTAGGTGGGTCAGGAGGCACCCGAACCTTGCCTTCAAAAATCTAAAGGCATGTTTGACCTGGATGTAGGCCCTGCCCAGGTGGGCATTGAAATAATCCCTGCTCAGGTCCAGGTGGCCAGTGCAGGGCTTCATGAGGCACAACATGAGGGGGTAGGCCACATCCCCCATGATGCACGGTGGCATCTGAATGCCACGATGTTGTGCTGGGAGAAGAATGTGCCTCCCTCCAGATGGTGGTAGAGGCTGGAATTCCTGAAAATGTGGGCGTTGTGCGCCCTGCCCGACCACCTGACTAAAGTGTCAGTAAACTGTCTATGGTGGTCAACCAGGGCCTGCAGCACCATCGAAAAATAGCCTTTACAGTTAATGTTCTGGGCAGCTCCATGTTCTGGTGCTCGGATGGGGATATGGGTTCCATCTATGGCTCCCCCACAGTTGGGAAAGCCCAGGGCAGAAAATCCAGCCACGACAGGGTCCAGGTCTCACAGGCAGATGACTCTGAGCAGCAAGACGGAATTCATGGCCCTCACTAACTGCAGAAGGAGACAAAGAAACACATAAAACAGAGAATCAGAGGGGGTGCCTGAGCCCTTGGGAGGTCCCTGCCCCTCCCCGCCAACCACACCAGGGCCCACCCTCTGCAGTTCTGAGTGAGGGCGGGACTGCAGAACACCCCCGGGATGGGGCTTCCGCCCATTCCCAGCCCACTCCCACCCCCAATTCCCACTTTCCCTAAGGTGCCCCTTTCCAGTACTTCCCCCCCTCACCTGCCCTCCAGGGACTTCAGCCCAAGTGCACCTTACCTCCATGAGGGGGGCCCCGACAGTGGACTTTCCCACACCAAACTGGTTGCCCACAGACTGGTAACTGTCTGGGGTAGTGAGCTGCCACATGGCAATGGCAACCCGCTTTTCCAGGTGGGTGGCAGGTCTCATCTGGGTGTCCCATCGATGGATGGCAGGGGCAAGCCAGGCAAACGGCTTTATGAAAGTAGCCTTCCTCTTGCAGAAGTTTTGCAGCCACTGCTGGTCGTCCCACCGCTCCATAATCAGTAGGTCCCACAAGTTGGAACTGGTGTTCAGCCTCCAGAAGCATCTCTCCACTGTTGGGTGCAGTTGCAAGGGCCTTGCTCCTGCACACCGGCAGAGGTTCTCGCTGATGTGCTCAGTGTGGAGTTCCTGCAGGGCCAGGAAGGCAGCCTGCACAAAGTGCTGCAGAAACTGCAGCATGGCTCCATGGCAAGGAGCGTGCTGTGGCATCCAAAAGCTGGGCAACCAGAGCATACACTGCAAATGCTTTGCTGTCCTTCAGAGAGGTAGGCAAGCAAGCAGCAGAAATTGAGAAACAGGGCTGTCAGGGGGGTTCTCTTTAAGCATGAGTTTCAGGTAGCCTTAGGCAACAGCACCCAGAAGCAACTGTTGACCTGATGCCCTGCCTGAACTGGTTCTGGGTGGCCTTAAATGTGAGATAGTGTCCAATCAGTGTGGACGCTATCTTTCGAAATAGCAAATCACTATTTTGTCGTGCTTTTTGCATCTGGAGACTTCTTTGAAATAAGCTTATTCTGGAAAAGCTTATTCTGAAAGAAGCTTGCAGTGTAGACATAGCCTTAACCAGTACAGTTTCTACAGTTGCCCAAGGAGTAGCAGTACTGCATTCTTTAATTCAGAGCACTTAAAAACACAAAGGACGGGCAGAGATTATTTTTAGTAGTCTCCTATATTAGGTGGTTGTAGGTGTTAACCTTGCATAATAATATTGTGCTGGGAATTCTGTTCCTAGGACTACCTCCGATCTGCTATGTGATCTTGTGCAGGTCATGCATATGCTCAGGCAGAATCTGAATCTAACTTTCATTGAAGTAAATATCTTCAAAGCCCAGGGGACTGAAAGTGTGCCTATTCCTTCATGGGAGAGGTAAGAAAGAGCAGGGGAGGGCAGGATCCTTGCTTTCCTAATCTTCTTCTGTCCCCTTCTGAAAGAGTCCAAGCACAGTCTTTGGCTTTGGGTCCATATTGGCCTCTAACAGGCATGTGTCCACAACCCAAAACAATAACAATAACAATAACAATAACAATAACTTGCGGCTCAGTTCAACAAAAGCTCTATTGAGAATAATTCCAAGCTAGACGTGCAGAGGCATCACAGAACTGAAAAACACTATGCAGGGGGAAACTTTCACAGTGTCTGCAGCATCACTGACTCTAGTGTCAGCCTTACACAGTTTCATAGGCCTCCTGTGTTCTAAAACCAGGTCTGGGCAAAATACAACCCATAGGCTGGATCCAGCCCACCAAACCACTAGATCCGGCACGCGGACACTGCTGGCTTCCCACTTGCCTCGCCCCACCTGCATGACGCTCAGAAATGTGGCGGTGGGGTAGTTTTTCTTTAAACTGTTATTCTGGAGGAGAGGGGGGAAAGCTTTAGGAGCTGCTCCTGCCCCCAGCACAATCCCATTGGCTAGTTTCTGGCCAGAAACTGGCCAATGGGAGCTGCCTGTTTTAATAACAGGCAGCCATGAAGCACAAGGGGCTCCAGAGCACATGTTTGCAGCCTGTGAGGGGGTGGGACAGGCAGGGATGCTGATTCAGGAACAGCTGCTGGCTGGTAAGTCTCCGGGTAGAGCCTACCTCTGGCACTCTAGTTCCACCTTTCCCCAACCCTCTCTTCCCATTCCCACCCCTTATTCCACATACCCAAATGTGTACCCATATCCTCTCCCATATCTGCACCCCAATCCCCTGCCCCAGATCATGGTCTCCTCCTGCCCCTAACTCACAACACAAATCCCTGCACCCCCTACTTTACCCCAATTTCCTGCCCTAGGTCACAATCCAACCCCCTCCACCCCAGTCCAGTACCCCAGGTCACAGCAGCCTCCTCCACTCAAACTCCCTTTGGGTATGTCTACACTACAATGTTAGTTCGAACTAACGGACATTAGTTCGAACTAACATTCATAGCCGCTACACCAGCGCTCCGCTAGTTCGAATTTGAATCGAACTAGCGGAGCGCTCAGTTCGAACTAGGAAAACCTCATTTTACGAGGATTAAGCCTAGTTCGAACTTACTAGTTCGAATTAAGGGGTGTGTAGCCCCTTAATTCGAACTAGTGGGAGGCTAGCCCTCCCCAGGTTTCCCGGGTGGCCACTCTGGCCAACACCAGGGAAACTCTATGCCCCCTCCCGGCCCCGGACCCCTTAAAGGGGC